AGTCAAACGTGCATGGCATTTCTGAACGAATCTGTAGTAATTTCAGTCATAATTCAATATACTCCAAAATTACAAACATTTTGTTGTAATATTTATTACAATATTTTTTCCATGCGTGCGTTTAAAATAATTTTCCGAGAGATCTCACACTTGCACTTGTGCACGCACATGCCGTTCCATTAGCTATTGTTGCATCGAAAACAAGTTTTCCAGCAGCTATCCATATGTTCACAAACTTTTGTTGCCACAAATCTTACGAAAGTATTCGCGATTTACGTCTCTCACGAAAGCCGCCGTTCCTCCACTTCGACAAGTTGCGTCCTCGCGACGAGCGCACACATCTAATTGACGCATCTCTATTCTCAGGCGCGGAGCACACAGAAGGTGTTGACTACCTGGCGGCCAGGCTGGGCAAGCGTCAGCTGTCGAAGAGATCGCGGATGCCTCTTCCGTTACCAGCCGATAATGGTGATATTCCGTCTGACAATTACGCGAACAGCGACGAGCCGAGGAACTCGAGGGGCCCGTTTCTCGCGCCGGATGCGCAGTACGAGGTGATCCAGCAGGGTCGTTACTCCTATTACGCGTCGAAGGACGACGAGGAGCTGCAGGAGGGTCCGGCGAATTCTGGTTACTTCCGCGAGGACGAGAACGAGAGAGGCAGGGAAAGAGATTATAGGGATTACAGGAGCAGTCAAGAGGAAGAGACGCCGCAATGCTGCCTCAGCGACTCGACTACATTGGACTCTGGTTGGCAGAGCGGGGAGCAACCGCAATCGGACGATAACGTGCGACCGGTGAACGTGTGACCCTAGATGATCGTAAGAATCGAGTGTGAACAAAGTGATGAGAGCGATCGATGACTTTTGTTTGCTCGTCTTGTCTCTCTTGCGGAGATATTCGCTGATAAACTATTAGCGCCGCGGAGAGACGCGCGACCATAGTTTCTGACTTGTGAATACGTAATTTAGATCGATCGTAAGTATACCAGAGTTGAAATTTTAGTTCTACATTGACCAGTCAGTCCTGCAGTCAGACTCCGTCGAATTTGAAGAGCCAATGGAGAATCTGGAGATATAATATTATGCAGTCTATTGCTTTTTTACTTTTTACAAACAATTATTTATTGCTGTTTTGTTGAGACTTAAAGAAGTCTTAACAAAACGGCAATAAATTAATCAAAGAATTATTTAAAATATTTCAGTGCCTTAATAGTCTACTTGCGTTGAATTCTTTCTTCATTTGTAATTTTGATTTAATGCAATTTAATGCATCTAATAATGCTCTTTTGGCTAGAAATTCTATCTTGTTGATATCCGTCAGTGCCTTCTTTCTATTTGTATTTGTCATTGTATTGAAATCACATTTAAATATCTATTACACTGAGAGAAAAAATATTTAAAAATTAATAAATATTTATTTGGTAGGAATACTAACATATTTACTTAAATTTAAATTCTTTTATTCAAATAGAATAAATAATTGGTTTCTTAAAAAAGATTTTCTGAAGGTTTTGAGAAAATGTATATTTTTATGTGAAAAATTCAACAAATAAATATTTATTAATTTTTGAATATTTCTTTCTTTCAGTGTAGTAGCATTATTATTTAACATTATTGGACACATATCTTTGCTGACTTCGTCCTTCCAACCCCCTTTTTCATCTTTTTCAAATCTCTAACCAAAATTTCTTATCAAAATTTCTAATGTCAAAAGAGAAAACATAAAAGGATTATGTTCTTTTATGTATCTACTTGTCCATTAATCTTTATTAGATTATTTAATATTTGCTTATCGTATACTTTATCTGAAGTCAAGTATAATTAAATTACACAGTTAATGCATTTTTTATTGAAATATAGATAGAATATAGATACTATTGAGTATTAAATCATTCTCATATGTTTCTTGAAGTCTCAATATGGAAGAAACACTAATAAGCAACTATTTGTAATGTCAAGGTAGGTCAATAATCCGTATAATGTTATATCTTGAGATTTTCCATCGATTCTTCAAGTTCATCGGTATTTGCAGGATTAATATAGAACTAAAATTTCGACTCGGGGCAGATCCCGTCCTCGGCGACGAGAGCGCGCGTCCGAAGTCGATAAGAGTTTCGCTTGCCCTTCAATTCTCGGGTAAAATCCATTAAATGCTTTAAAGCATTCTAAGTATATAATGAATGTAACTAAACTTGTGTATAAGGGAAAACGCTTGGATGCTTATAAAACGTTTAGCGGATTGCACTATTCGACTGTCGGGACGTAGAAGTTAGGAACGATAGACGCATTGCCCTAGACGGGTGACGCGTACGACGATAGATTCGTCATGTAGAGCGAACATAGAATGGAACGTAGTTAAGTCGTGGAAACGACGCGCTAGCGGTAAATTCATTAGACAAATTACGAAAACGGCAAATCTGAGAAGAATGCGCGTGTTTCGGTTCATATCCTACTAAATTTGCTTCCCACCGAAATGAACGGATCGTCGCTAAAAACAATGCATGATTTTGAGCGATCTATAGAGCCGCAACGTCAAGCGTATTTTCTTGTAAAAATGATAGTCGTGTAAGATATAGAAGTAAACTCTGATAAAATTCAAAATAAGGTATAATGGGATCTTTAAGAGCTAAAGCACGGGTGTTCTACTGCTATAAATTACTTAAATAAATGTAGATTATGTTTTTCAATGTAAACAAATATTTTAATTGTTCAGACATTTCGGTCCTATATTCTATATATAAGTTATTTCCGTTGAAAAAAGTTCGACATAGGATTGAATCGTGTCTGAATAATTAGAGTGTTGCACTTTTTTTATAATCTACATTTGATTATTTAATTTATAGTACTGCCATATTTATGAGATTCGTATTTTGGTTCTCAAAAGCCCTATTATATCTTATTTTGTAATATTGATTTTATCTTCGATTAACGGACGTTGCGCGCTGCGAAGCGATCGACGGCGAACTATCGTCCGACGTTTCCGTGTTGAGCTCACGATACAAATCACATACGGATTCTGATATGAAGCCCGTGATGATATCAAATACGTACGTGATAACGTCGAACGCGAGTTTGCGCTCGATGAAATCTCGACTATTATGAAATCTCGGAGGAATGAGCTGCTTGGGTTCCTCTCGCAGGAGCTTGCTGGTTCCACATAATCTATATGTGTGTGTGTGTGTGTATACATTTAACTGGAGAGTAGATGTAAAGCGCAAGTAGAATACGATCGAACGATGACTCGTGATGGAATCTCCGACGCAGTTTCGAATGACACGATGACTGGTCGTGGCAAACAGTCCAGATGCGCGGAAGTTCATTACGCTTGGCGTAAGACCCGATGATTGCGATGAAGCGGCTCGACTTGTTTGCGTTAAAACACGATCGGCTGTCGGGTGAAAATGGGCAGATCGTGTAAGACAAGATATTCGCGACAAGTCCTGTGTATTTTTGCTAACTGTGCAATGTTATTCGTGCTGCTCGTAGTAACGAATAATAGGGAGTGTCAAGTATAGCGTTGAGAAGTGTGATATGTGATGAGAGAGTGCATGAGAGCGAGAGAGAGAGTGAGAGAGAGAGAGAGGGGGGGGGAGAGAACGAGAGAGTTATTCCCACAGGGAGGGGTGGGAGAAAGAGAGAACATTAGTTTCATAGTTGAATTGTTTGTTGACGATGCATCCGCGTATGAACGATTGGACGGTTTGTTTTATCAGATAGATGTCCATTTTATCTGATACTTGCCATTTAGCGTTCGTTACATTTGACCCCGCGATAGTGATAAGCAATTAGTGTTTTTATCCGATACTTTGCTCGGTTCTTACGTATGTCTGTTGCGCATTTTCCAATCGCCGCTCGATCTCGACGATAATTGTTCTTCGTTGATTCTTCGTTGTTCACGAATACGCGACAGAGGATGAACAGGGTGTCGCATCATCGATATACAGGTCATGATATGCACATACAGCGATGCAACATCCTGTACAAAAGCACGTGCTTTATCCTTGCCGATTAGATGTTAGTCGTAATACCCGAATAGTCGCTGATCGTCCCCGAGGTATCAATAATCAAACGATATGTTCGTGATCGCGAGAAATCCGCGCGAATATCATCTCAAAATCGATACGAAATACTTCATTGCATCGCGCGTTCGCGTTGAATGTTAATTTATCTCGCGAGGAATCATTCATATCTTTGTAAATAAGTACAACATTTCCCATACAACACGCATGTCTCAAAGACGCTCAAAATACGTCTAAAATAGTAGAATGTCTTTTGGACGTCTTTAAGATTTGTATTGATAGTTCTTACTAGAAACTTATCTCAGATGAAATATTAAGGTATGCATTAGTAGTTATTACTTGAAATTTTTGCGTGAAATACTCAGATCTGAATTTAGAGTCAGACCTGAGAACCATATTAATAGTCCTCACTTGTGAAATTTGTTTCACGCAAGATACTCAGATTTAAACTTAAAGTTAGATTTGAAACATATGTTTCATTTGTTATATGTTTACTTGAAACATATAACATATGCGACATTATATTTATAATCGAGATTTAGCTAAAAACTCGCATTTATTCTCTAAATTCAAATTTTAATATCTCATCTGAGATAAGTCTCAAATAACAACTATTAATACATATTATTTCTGAAACATTCAAGTCTGTATTAATAATCATTATTTGAAAATTGCCTCAAGTGAGATACTCAGATTTGAATTTAGAGATAAATGCGAGTTTTTCAGCTATAAAAAAAACTTAAATCTAACTCTAAATTTATATCTTGTGTTGAATATCTTACGTGGAATAAGTTCCAAGTAATAACTATTAATACGAGTTGCAGTTGATTCGCGTAATATACGTGACATTATATTTGCAATCATGACTCTACTGAAAATTTCATATCACTCTCAACTCAAATATGAGTATTTCACTTGAAAGTTTCATGTAATATCTATTAATATGAGTCTAAAATTTTAATTTAGAGATAGGTTTGAGTGTTTTTAACCAAATTGCTGTTGCAAATTCAATGTCGCATATATGATATGATTTAAATAAAAAAAAACTCAAATCTAATTCTACATTACAAATAAAGAAAAACTCAAATCTAATTCTACATTCAGATTTGAGTATCTCGCGTAAGATAAATTTCAAATGACAACTCTGAATACGAACCTAAGATGTCTTTAAGACTTATGTGTTGTTGTCGGTTCGTTTCGTCTCGTACTTTTGCTCATTCGGTCGAAAAATCATACGAACGTCTCGTTTGATAATTGTATGTTATTGTTGTCGGTGTTTGCTGACGAATCGCTTCTTCCTTGGTTCCGGCGCCGATACGTCGTGCGCGGAGAGATCATTCGCTTTCGAAATCACAATCCAGGTGGACCAAGGACAATATAGAGAGAAAGAAGGAAAGAGAGAGGAAGGAAGAGATCGATCGAATCGACATAGTAGTGATTAGACTCGTCGGTTGTCTATTTTTTCTGTTATCGGCCGCACGAGAACGTGACGTAACGTAACGTAACGTAACATAACGTATATAGATGAAAGGCATATTTTATAATCCTCCGAAAGCGGCAAAGAGTCAGATTAGAGCGGTAGTTTAATGTCGTCTAATAAGTGAATAAAGTGTACCTTAAGGGCGAGCCGTGAGTCATAGTAAGTTCAGTAAGTCCAGCGCATCGTCGAATAATGTATTTGACAATGAATGAGAATAAAGAATGATTTTGCGAAAAACTGTCACGCACGGTGCGACGACCGCGCGAGACGGCGACTTCACTTAAAGTTGAGGTTCCGCTATACTGTTTGCGTCATAGTGTGAGTTCGCGTCATCGCGCGAGTTATTTGACGTGTGATAATTATACATCCGAAACGCGGATATCCTATTGAGCATTACTTGTAATCAGCGACGCACACGATCGTGAAAGAAAATAATAACGTTTATCTCCGTACACTTTCAGTTTCTTTAAACATTGACTTCTGACACATTTCGCGGATGCAGTATCATGATATCAATTGATTTGTCTCAAGCTGATGCGGGTGCGAATGCAACAATACACATCTTTTTCAAGATTGTCGTCCCGACAATCCAACGAAGGTTTGTATGAAGCTTTCTATTCCCACGGATGTTGACTGCAGGCCACCAAGATGATTTTCTGCACTCCTTGAGCTGCTGCTGCGGATTACCGACCATTCTTACGAGTTCCAGTCAGGCACCAGTCTTGCAAAAGTACTTCTGTATGCATCCGATCCTCTTAAACTTTGTTTCTTTCATGATTCAAAAGTCCTGAAATCTTTCTTTTGAGTTCTGTGATCTCCTTCCTCACTTATTTGGACAGAAAGGTGGTAAACTCAACAAAACACTCGAGATCTTGAAAATAGTTCCATTTAACTCTGATAGTAATACCAACACTTTCTCGCAAATGTATTGGCGTAAATTTCATTTTAATTTACTTTCAAGAACTCCTTTAAAATTATAAATAAAAATAAAATATTTATTTTTATTAATTTATATTTATATAAATAAAAATTACGTTAAAAACAAAATAAAAAGGAGCAATGATTATAATGTAGGATAAGTGATTTAATAGATTTTAGATCAATTTTTAATATAATCCACAAATATAATCCAAATATAATACTATTCACTGTATAATATAGTCTAATGCATAAAATGAGTATATCACTGTCAGAGTTAAAGACTTAGACCGGCGAAGACTCCCACTGTCTTGGGATAATCTTTTGAGGTCAGCTTTTATGCAAACTGTTTGTTCATGCTGATTGTTTATATTACGTATTTATTTGTATTATATATTCATGCCGAAAGTTTGTATATGAGTGTCTGTATTATATCGATACCTTTTTTACTTATTACGTCGCCTCTGTCCGCTTATCGTGATTGACAGTCAATAAACTTTATTGCCTGTATGCTCGCAGTCGCAGTACATCAAGATGATGTGATGACATTTCAGAATCGAGAATGTCTTGACAATCTGCGCATTCGATTTGACAAGGAATTAACTTTATGGAGCTCGTTCTATTGCTTCTCGCACAGAAGTATTGCTAATTGTCAGATAATTAAATTAACAATAAAATCGTTTCACATCACTGAAATTCTGAAAACTTCGTGATTGTATCTCGGTTTTTCTCATGTTTATCACAAGGCGCTACCGTGTCGTTTGGTTATTTATTGTATTATCTATTATACTATCGCGCGATTATATATATATATATATATATATATATATATATATATATATATATATAATGTCGTTACGTCATTACTTTTAGAATTACTTAATGTAAACAAAAATATTATTAATTCTTTAATAATGTTTAAGTCCTAGAATCAATTCTCCGTTTGAATAACATCTTTTTTTTACAAGATATTCTCAAGAATATACTAGAGTCAAAATTTTTACCGACGAAATACTGATGTTTACGTTGTATTAATTTCACATAATTACAAATACTCTTACGTAATCAAAATACGTGGGAAAATGAATTGGAGCATCGTTCAATATATGAGGAAAACAATAAAAAATGTCATTTTAAGTGTAAATTAGACTGCTAGACGCTTTTAGTTAAAATAAATATTTGTCTCATAAAAAAGATTTTGTAGTTAGTATATAATGCGATGTTGCTCCGTTCAGAAATATTTTGAAGCACGTTGTTGTACTTTTATATCTAAATTTAGAAACTTAAAAATATCGGGAAAGCTTGAGGAAAGATTTCTATGTATGCTTGGTTAGGTTTTTCACTAAATATAGTAAAATAAAGCAATACACATTTAATTAAGATCTATATGTACAAGAAATACAAAAAATAACGTGATTGTGTTAGTGATCATCCTTTCTACGTTATTTTAAAAGTTCATCATCGACTCCAGCACCCCGTTAAAAGACACTTCTGATGAAGAGATTTGTAATCCGAATAAAATTGACTGTCAAAAAGTGCGATTTTCTGAATGCACATAGTTATATTAGTTTAAGATGACATCGACAGAAAATTGTAAAAATAAAATATGCTAATTTTTCTTTTAAAAAATTTTATAAAATTTCGAGCTTTAACGATTTTGCTTTATACATGAGTACTATTTTAGTTTCTTCAACAAGAAAATCACTGTTTTCCGAATTGGGACGAAGAATATAGCTTTATTTGGAATGAATTGATAGTGTTATATATCGACAAAATGATTATTTTGTCAATATAAAAAATGCGGGGAGAATCTAAAATGAATGTATAATTATGTGCATTAAGCTTCCTTAGTGAGATTTTAAAGAGTTAAAATATTTCTACGCGACTAATGATATCCTAGTGTCGTCGGGAAATAGATCGGTGAGAACAAGAGGTATCTCGAAAGCTCGAAGAATTGTCTGTCGTGAAGATGGTCTCTCTTTTTCTCTCATCTTGAGATTTCAGACACCCTCGACAGTTCCATGCGTCACTTGATTGGCCAGGAACCTCTCAACCCTTTCCCGAAATTCCCTGCTAGATTCCGGTAAGGGTAGTCGCGGCCCAGAGAGGCACTGCAAGCTGGTGAAGCTCTGTAGAGTCTCCGACAGCCGGCGATCGTGATCCAAGATGTCCGGCTTGGGTGCCGGTGGTTTCCTCTTTTGTAACGGTGGTCTCGGCGTCTTCGAGCTGGCGACGGTGTTGTTGCTCTCCGGCAGATGGTTCATCATCCCGCGAAACGCGATTTTTGCGCTGAGCAGCGACCAGAATACTTCCAGAAGGGATGCCATGAGGACGTTCAGAGTCAGCAGCACCTTGGTGTGCGACGAGTTCTCGTAGTGATTGTGCCAAAGAGCCTCTTCCCTCTTCAAGTCCACGGCTGATCCCCGCGTGACATTTGCCGCGTCCTCGTTCTGGAAGATTTCTTTGGACATTATCGCTGTTTCTTCCAACGCGAAGGTCGCTTCTGCCTTAAGGTCGTTATAACCACCATTCCCGGCACCGTCATGGAAATCGAAGTCATCGAGCTCGATACTCAGAGAAGTTGTACTAATTTCGTCGACTTTGAAGAAGTCACGATCGTCGGTGGCGTTGAACTGCGTGGTATCATCCGCGTGAGTATCGTTTGTTTGCTCCTTGAGAGGATGCGGCAAGTAACGTGGAGCGTCAAAGATCTCCTCCAACGGCCATAGGGACTTGCCGGTACTGCCGTCGGATACCGCTGCGATGTCGAAGATTGTGACGACGAAGCAGAGGATCGCCGCCACCAGGGAGAAGAGGCTGCCGTAGAAGAAAATTGCGATGTTCCGGTCGATGTACCAACGCCGCCAAGCGAGGAGGCCGGTCACGAACGGCACCAGACACGCAACAGACAATATCGGGCCTTGCAGAGACAAGGCGAGGGTGCCCAAGAGGAGGGACAGTGCGCCGAGTCCGAAGTGCACCAAGGACAGGCCGCCTACCGTCGACGCCGAGTAACGACGCTCCGATGGGTACAAGGACGACAACGGCGGTTTCGTCTTCACTTTGATGATGTACACGTTCTCCGTCATTGTTCGTCTCGCGATAGTTTCGTCGCGGAATCAACGATTCCCGTCTCGCAAACTGTCACTCACTCACTCACTCGAGAGAAAGGGGATCTTCTCGTGGCAATGGAATCGCCGACTGTAACATGCTCGGTGCATCTGTTCGAGGTGTCGTTCGAAATGTCAGCAAAGTCAAGATTTTTCGCGAAGGTGGATCATTAGCTCGCACTTTGCAGCGTCGCGGAAGCACAGACTCCGCCTGAACCAAGTCTTTCCTCGCACTTCTTTCCCGTGCCGTTAATTCGAAAGATACACGGCAGTTAGCGAGACGTGGCGGCCAATCACCGTGTTGCTGGGTTACAAAAAAGTTAAGCTGGAAGCTATAAAAATAAAGAGCTTCATGAAAATACGGAAACAACTGAAAACGGAAGATGAGAAAGATCGTACGGTAAAAGTATTAGTGTCTGGATGTATATTTAACTTTAGACATTCTTATTATTTTTGGAGTCTTCAATCACGAATATCTAAATTTTCCACACAGAATATATATATATATATATATATATATATATATATATATATACACATGTTCTGTATTAAAAATTTAAGTATTTGTGTATAAAGACCGGAACAATAAGAATATTAGATACATGCCCAGACATTAATACTTTTACCTTAAATATTGATGAATTTTGAAAATATAGCACAGGCCTGTATTATTAATTATTACTTGGAACTCATATTAAATGAAATGTTCAAAGTTGAACTCAGATAGATGAAAGTTTTTTTTATTGAATCATTATACTATATGTTCAAAGATCGCGATTACAGATATAAGTGTCACATATATCGTAACTGAACTGAGAAACTTGGATATAATTCAGAATAAAAATGTAAGTATTCCATGCGAGACAAATTTCAAGTGACAATTATCAATACAGGCCATAATGTGTAGTTATCTTAACGATAACTAGCATAGAATTTTTTGAAAATGTACTTCATTAATCTTGAGGAGCTTTACACATGTACAACAAATCAAAACAAGAGAAATATATTAATTTTTTTATATAAAAACATGCATACACGTTTAGAGTTTGAAATAACTTGTCGAAAGGAGACACCGATAAAATTATTTATATAAGCTAATATTTTTAAACTTGTAAAGTATATATGAGAACGTATTATATACAAAATTTTTATAATATTTAATGTATTTTAACTGACTCTCTTCAAAGAAAAAGGAATTTGTTTTGTGACTATATTTATATGTGCGTCATTTACATGATTTTTAGATTAATGTCATTATCCCGATTTATAATTTGGATGATTTGGAAATTGGATAATTCCATTATTTTCTTGAAAATCCGAGAACATGTAGAGATATAAAATGAGACTTCTATTTTAACCGACTCGAAAAAAAATTTTTATTCAATTACTATTTCTTTTTTCTACTTCAAAAGTTTTAAAAGCTCTAAAAAGTACGAAATAGTTTTGAACCAATATTTCTACGTACCTACAATTTTATCTAAACACTCTAACGATATTAGAAGTCGGCGTGAGAGAAACGAAGTAGATAGGCAACTAATTATATAACTGTAGAGAAATAAATAAAAAATAAAAAAGGTTTAATTATTATGACTCAATCAGTCATGCTTTCACACCAACTTCTAATATCGTTGGGATATTAAAATAGGATTTCGAGTACATAGAAGAATATTGATTCAAAATAACTTTATACTTTTCAGGGTTTTTGAGGTTTTTTAAGGTAGTTTGTCTTTTTTAGAAGTTTAAAATAATTTTCTTTTTATGCATCGCTCTCTCGATTGTCTTATTTTTATATATTCTGCAACATTTTTGATACCGACCAAAATCAATGAAGGATATCCTGAGACGTTTTCTGTATTTATAACTTTGGTATCTCCATCTATTTAACGGAATACCGAACGAGATTTCAAAAACACACTTAAACGATGTTTCTTAAACAAAAAGAACATTTCGACTTTTCACTTCTTTACTTCACACCGTATTTATCTCAATCGCTACATACGACTTAATAATTCAGCCTTGAATTATTCAATCTAACGTAGGTTGGCAATTCAGCCGGAAGCAAAACATCACGGATGCGAAATTAGAGCCCGATGATCGAGCACGGGAAAGCAAAAGAGTCCCCGACGAGCTATCGCGACGATTCGCCGCGCGCTCATTCGACATTCGATTATACAGGACACGTAACTCGCGATCGAGTCCGAGGCGGATTCGTGGAGAACGTTTCAACGACACGAATTCGACGTCTAACGGCGGAGCAGAAGAAGTCGAGGCGACTTCCGCGCTGCTGACTGCAACAGAGCCGACCAACCAACTGACCAATTATCGTAACCGCTTCTCGTTCGACTTAATTGAAATCCACGTCCGCCTCCGCGTCCGTGGATTTCGCCGCTTCTCGCGCGGTTTTATAGATAAGCATCTTGTGCAATTCGCAGCTAACAATTGCTTGTTCGTGACAGAATCCAGGTGAGCCTCGCCAATGCGGAATGATTCACAATGCAGAATTCACATCAGTGTTGAATATAAATCGATGAACATTTTCCTTGATTCAAATAATCGGCGAATCAATGATCAAAGTTAATCAACCGTCACATATACACATAGAAAAATATCTCTCTACCATTACGAAAAACGATTATTCAGTTTGTATTTTTTCTTTCAAGTAATTGTTATCTTAGACAAAGAATATTTTTTTGATAATAGTCTTAAAATCGAGAAAAATTAATAGTCATAAATTCGAGAATAGCTTATTGTTATGTCATTAAAAGAAAAATATATTCTATACTGAAAGAAATTATCTGATAAAAAATTAACAAATTATTATTTCCGATTAAATTTCGATCAATTTATATTTATATCCAATCAGAATATCCATTAAATTTTATCGGATACTTCCGATTATAATAGTATTTCATCAGATAAACCGATCAAAAAATCATGAACCGATATTTCTCATCGGATGTTTCCTGATTGAAAACAAAAATTTATTGGTATTTTGATCGGAAATATCCGTTTATTAATTTTTTATCAGATAATTTCTCTCAGTGTAACAAGATATATAAAAAATTAAACTCTTTTATATAAAGAATAAATTCTATTTACGAGAATATATATATATATATATATATATATATATATATATATATATATATATTGTAAAACTTTATCGGAAAAAAATAGGTTTGATTCTATATGATAAGCAAACTGAATTTTTATTATCTGAATTTAATATTTATTGTCTGAATTTAATATTTTTGATTGAAATATTAAACTTACTAGGATATATTTAGAATAGATGTAATGCTTACGATGAACTAGTGTGACAGATTTGCGGATTTGCGGATTGTGGATTTGTGGATATACAAATGATATATTTATGAATTACCTGAAACAAGTAACATTTATTTGAATGGAGTATGTAATTTTTTGTGCATATGTGTAATTTAATCGATTGGTGAAATTATTAATCAGTGTATAATCAATCACGTCAAAGTTTGGTTAAAATTAATTTCACCAATCGATAAAATAACTTGTGATATTAAATACGATAATTGATTAATTTTGATTATTGACTCGTCAGTTATTTTAGTCAAAGGAAATTTTCATCGATTAATATTCAATATTATTTTACACGAACGATACTGTATCGGTATTTTGATCGTAAGCAAAGTAAAAACAGAAGCGACAGCTAGGGAGTAGTTCCAAAATCAGAGGAGATTCGAAAATTATGTTTACAATGTTATTTTGGCGCCAAGCGAATCTGACAACATAGCTCAATGACCGTTTGGTGCTTCGTTGCCGCTCGATCTTTCGCTTTTTTCTTCTCCGCGGTGCTGAGGTTACGCAATTGATGATTACGAGAGCCCGCGGTGGTGTTGCGAGCGCGCCCTTGTTTTCCCGAGCATTCGTTTTCACGTTGTATTAGCACGTTCGACCGTGCGAATCTTCGGTGAAATTTCCAGCAAATCGTGAATGCGCGCGACGAGCTGCACGATGATTTAAACGCGATATGAAATCATCGAAGACTCGCAAATTGTTCGCTTCTTTGTGATCCTGGCATTATGTCAAAGCGTGATCTTTTAACTAGTTGATTGCTGCTTCGATTTTTATCGATGGTGCAAAAGCTTGAGAGATAACTGAACTTGATAACTGATCGAGGACACCGTGTTGGACATTAATCAAATAAGTTTTTTTTATTAAAAAAATTGATAAATTAATCATAAAAAATAATTAATCGTTATACACATAAATTCGTCACGAATAAATTAGTCGATTGATGAAATTAATTATTAATTAGTATGTAATCAATAATATAAAATTTGGATGAATAATTAATTTCATCGATCAGGGAAATTATTTGTGCTTTTATATACGACGATTGATCAATTCTGATTATTGATTCCGATTATTGCAGTTGAACTAAATTTTAACCAACCAATGCCCAACATTGCATACGGTAAATTAATATAATTTGAGACAAGTGTATATTTTACTTCGTTTTATTGACTCTGTGTCGACCATACCGATTTTTCCAATGCAATTAGTAATTTATTTGTTATAATTAATTATTATAAAATACAAATATAATACCAATTTCAATTAAGCAAGGAAAATATATCTACATAATCTTCCTAAAATAGAAAAAATTATTAAATAGATTATGTGCGCAGATTTATTGTGCATAATATTGTGCTTCTTCAATAATCTCTTTTTCTTTTAAAAGAGAAAATTCTATTATGTACTATAATGAATTCTATTATAAATGTATTCTATGAGATTATGTTCTTTGCTCTTAAAAAGAAATCTCTTGAGGATTTTTTTCTCTTAGATATTAATTACGAGTAATACTTTACACGTAATATGACAAGGCGGGGTGATATCATCATGACTGTTACCAGTGACCGCCATGGCATTCAACGTATTAAGAATGAAATTCCGCGGCGAACACGCTCACTGACACTAAAGAGAAGAAGGACGCGAAATTGTCTCAGACGATTCAGCGTCAATCATGCTGAGTCCCACGTTTAATATTATCCTCTTTGAAACAATAAAAAGATCTGACAGTAAGTACCATATTTTCTGATGACACGCACGAGATGCAGAACAAAGTCGTACAGACTCTTTCAAAAACTTGGGGTGAGTTTGTGAGTTCGCGGCGACACCGCATTTCGACGGTGTTTCCACACGCGACTCGACGAACGCGATCTTTCGCGGACAACGCTTGAACGGCGACTGAATTAGTACGAAGTCCTCGTTGAAGTCGCTACGAAATCACGTACGGCCCTCCCACGCAGCCGTCTTGTAGTGAAAGGGACAACAGAAAGCCAGCGTTAAATATAAGTACCTTAGACTCGCGTTAAGTCCTGTTCACACTATCGACGGCTTGCACTCATGCGGCAAAATGATCTTGGCAATGAGAGCGTCCTCCTTACGTTGATTACATCGTGCATTCTCTTTTTGTCGCGTTTATACGTGATATCGGTCAGGAGCAAAAATGAATAAAAGTCGATTTCTAGAAAAGTCGAGCAGCTCATAGCTCGAAGCGAGAAGAAATTTTCCTTGTCGTATCGCAATTAATTGCACGATCATTTTGAATTATATGTAACATTATATTTTGCAATTATTGTTATATTTTATAATTATATAAATATATTTTTTTAATTTAATAAATAAATGGAGTCGATACTGTTGTTTAGTAGTACTTAATAACAGTTTACGTCTGTTTTCAGCTAGAGAAAATGTAATAGTAATATCCTCAAGAGACCTTTTTCTTAAGAGTGAAGAACATAATCTTATATAATAAAATTTATTCACAATAGAATTTGTAATAGTATACAGTAGAATTTTCTCCTTTAAAAGAAAAAAAAATTGTTGAATAAGTTTTGCACAATAAATCTGCGACTTATACATATAACTTATTGAATAATTTTTTCTATTTTAGAAAAATTATCTGGAGATATTTTCCTTGCTTAAAGAGTGGTTATCTTTACAGATTACAACAGAAAAATCGAATAGAAGAGAATTATATGGGAACTGTCCTTTACGTTAAAAAAGAAATATCTTGAGTTTTGCTGTGCAAAAATAAAAAAATATTTTAATTTATCTTTATTACACTGAGAGGAAAAAATATCGAAGAAATAGTAAATATTTATTTAGTGGGTACTAATAGCTTTACTTACTAGCTGAAGCCATCCGGCTTTGCTTGGGTTAAGGGGATGAAATCAAGGAGAGAGAGTGGTATTAGATTTCATGCAGCCTATATTTTCCGCAGAGTCCTAGAGAGTAACTATGCAAAATTTAGTCGAGATCAGTTTAGAAGTATACAGGAGAAACAGACATTCATACATATATATATATATATATATATATATATATATATATATATATATATATATATATATATATATA